ACTTTTCTTCTATCTGAGAACTTTTTGAATTACATTTTCCCTGGATTCTAGATTGACAGATTTTTTCCATTCAGCATTTTAGAAAAGTAATTCCATTGTCTTTTGGTTTGCACTTTTTCTTGTGAGACGTCTTATCTATATTTCCCTGTAGATAATGTGTTATTTTTATCCCCTCTGATTGCTTTTAAGATTTTCTCATTATTACTGAGTTATAGCAATTTTATTATCATATGATTATGATAATTTTCAGCAGTTTAATTCTGTGTTTTATTTTCTTTGTGTTGATCCTGACTGAGATTTATTGTGTTTGTTAGATATGTGAGTTGATGGATTGATATTTTTCATCAAATCTTGAAAATATTTGATCAGTATTTCTTCAAGTATTTTTCTGCACACACCCTTCCTCCCCCTTTTCCTCTCTTTCTGGGATTTCAATTACATGTATATTAGACTGGTTGATTGCACTGAATGAATGCAAATAACTATATTTTTTGAAACTTTATAAAATTGGTGGAGGGTTGAATTTGGTTCATGGGCTGAAGTTTGTCAACTGCTGCTTTAAATCCTTGAACGTATTTATATTCATTATTTTTAAGTCCTTGTTTGCTAATTCCATTATCTCTTGACATTTCTGGGTCTGTTTCTATTGACTAATGTTTCTTCTGGGTCTGGGTCATATTTTCCTGTTTGATATCTAGTTATTTCTTATTGGATGCTGGATATGTGGTATTAAATTGTTGATTGTATGGATTTTGTTATCTTCCTTTACCAGAGCATCAATGTTTTGTTTTGGTGGACAGTTAAGTTACTTGTGGATCAGCTTGATCTGTGTAAGACTTTTTTAAAACTTTGTTATGGCCTATTTAGAGTAGCTTTTACTCTCGGCTCTTTCCAGGATTTTCCCTGAATGCTGAGTCTCTCCACTCTAGCTGGTTGTAGCTCAAGTGTTTCCCAGCCCTGTGTGAACTCAAGGAATTGTTCAGCTTACAGCTCCCTGATAGTTGTTTTTTTCCTGCTAGTTATAGTTTACCTCGCCTTGTGGAAATCTCCCCTTAGCATGCAGTGAAGCTTTGTATGCCAAAGTCTCAAGGGGACCCCCATGAATATTTCTAGAGTTCTTTCTCTGCATAACTGTCTCTTCACTAGTATTCTACCCTACAAATTTCAACTACTCAGCCCCCCTGACCTCAAATTTTCTTCTCAACTCAGCAAGACCACCATGCTTTGCTTAGACTCTTCCTCTTTAGACCACAGATTTTGCTGTAGACACAGAATGTGTCTACAAATGAAAAGTCAGAGTCATCATAGGGTTTCCTTATTTGTATCCCATCTCTCAGCAGTCAGAAGTCCTGTACTACCTGTGGTACATTGTCTAAAAAGAACTGTTCCATATTTTTTGTCCAGTTTTCTAGTTGTTTACTGTAGGAGTGAAAGTCTATACCAGTTACTTCATGATCTGAGGCGGAAAACCCTCAGCCACAGGCCAGGATCCCTAGCTCATACATATCATCTGCATGCTCCCATGAGAGCTGGAACCTCCTGTTCAGTACATTGTGTTATTTTTATGTTTTATGGTGATTCTGTCCAGGTAGCCTTTTCTACTTATACTATAGCTGTTTGTCTTTATCCCTTGTTTCTTTTGATACATTGCAGTGGGACTTGTAGGTTTTAGAAAATACACTTAAAAGGTAATTTGAATATATGTAACTTCAAGATTTTTTTAATGAAAATTATTATTTTTTTGGTTTTATTTGAATTTTTCATGTAAACTGATATTTATTTCAGTCAAATCAGTTATATTTAGGAACGATTAACCTGTAATACTGAAAAGAACTTGTTAGGTTTCCTATCTGTTACCGTAGTTTAAACTAAAATATCAAGGTACAGGCTAAGTGGGCTGTTGAGCGTGACAAAGGACAAGAAGCTCAGTGATTCGCGTTCACTTTGTCTGGGAACCACCACATCTGCCTCTGAGGCTGAGTAATCATGACTTATTACTGTGGTTATGGAAAGTATATGTCAGTTTAGTTGTGTGAATGAACCATCCTTTCTGCAGGGAAAAAATTCTCATAGGATTGCTGAAAATTTCCCTTTTTAGAATCATTTAAAATTAAAACTATGAATAAGTCTTTTATCTTGTTGGATAATGTATTTAATCTGTCAGGGTGCATATTTTATCTATATTTCTGGAATAGAAATGTAGTTTTTTCCTTGCTATATATCCAAGAAATCTCATTTTAGCATCCAGTACAGTTTGATTTTTGTTCACTTAGAGTTCATTTCTAGAGTTGAGGGGTAGGCTGTTTCTGCAGCTTACAGGGGATAGTTGTGTGGGGATATTGTGGACATACTCTTGAATTTCTTGTCTTTCGCTTACTGATACCACATTTCTCTTTTGTGTTTTCAAACAGTAAAGATGGAAGTTATAGTTGTTTTTTTAAAATTGCATCTGAGGGCTGGCCCCCGTGGCTTAGCGGTTAAGTGCATGAACTCGGCTACTGGTGGCCCGGGTTCCGATCCCGGGGCGCAGCAACACACTGCTTCTCCGGCCATGCTGAGGCCGCGTCCCACATACAGCAACTAGAAGGATGTGCAGCTATGACATACAACTATCTACTGGGGCTTTGGGGGAAAAATAAATAAATAAAAATTTTAAAATTGCATCTGATACTTAGCTGTAAATGTACAGTGAGAAATTTTTCACTGATTAGTGACAACTTTAAACTTGTGTTTTGCGTGTGTGTGTGTGTGTGTGTGTTTGTAGGATCACAAAATAATCTTTTTTTCTCCTCAACTGTGAAATCTCTTATCTAGTGTGAAATGTTTTATATCTAATATTCAAAGAAACAGTTGTAGATTTCATGATTAATCATAACTTTTTTTTAAAAACCTGAATACTCAAAAGCGTTCCTTTTTTAAACATTCTATAATTATTTTTAAAACTTAAATGTTACCATTTATGGATTTCTATGAATTAAAACTCAAGAAAAAGAGGAACAGACTAAAAATTCACATAAATTTTTTTGGTCATGAAAAAACCTAATTAATTGATTCAGTGCTAAATGTAAAACTTCATTTTTTAGATTTTATCTAAACACAAAGTACCTATTACATTTAGGGAGAAATATAGTCTAGGTTTTTCTTCATAACAGCTAATGGCTAGTACTTTATGAGGGCTTACTATACGCCCAGCACTGTTCTAAGCTGAGCACTTTCTAAGAATTGACTAATTTAAACCTCACAATATCCCCAGAATGTAGGTCCTGAGGGTATTTTTTTTTTTCCTGAGGAAGATCAGCCCTGAGCTAACATCCATGCCAATCCTCCTCTTTTTGCTGAGGAATACCAGCCCTGAGCTAACATCTATTGCTAGTCCTCCTCCTTTTTTTCCCTTTTTCTCCCCAAAGCCCCAGTAGATAGTTGTATGTCATAGTTGCACATCCTTCTAGTTGCTGTATGTGGGACGTGGCCTCAGCATGGCCAGACAAGCGGTGCATCGGTGCGTGCCCGGGATCCGAACTCGGGCCGCCAGTAGCGGAGCGCATGCACTTAACCGCTAAGCCACAGGCCGGCCCCCTGAGGGTATTTTATTATTCCCATTTTGGAAACAAGGATAGCAAGATTCAGAAGGTTAAGTGGCAGAGGCCAGAACCGGAACCATAGCATCTGGCTCTAGAAGTTATGCTTATGTCCACTGTGCTATAAACTTTGTCTATAGTATGCTTTAAAGTGAATGGTTATACCACGTGTGTTAGAGCAACATGTTAAGAATGTCCAACTGTTAGATCTTATACCTTGTGAGAACTTTGTAAATTAGCATTAGATTTTATTGACATACCTCATTATATTTGGAGTTTTTGAATTTTGGAGCTGGATAAAACCATTAATCTAATTCTTTTGCCTTGCAGAAGAGTAAACTGAGGCCCAGAGAGGTTTAGTAACTTGTCCCAGGTCACTTATTTTCTGACCCTTAATTTATTGTTCCCCCAATGGTTCCTAAACCTAGCCTATTGGAACCTAACTTATTTGAAACTCTAAAGGATCTTGTTTAAAACATACGGGTCCATCTTCACCGCCCGCCCCCCCACACACACACACACCATGACCATTCAATCAATCTATGCTTAGGAAACCCAGGAATTTATATTTGTAACAAACCCCCTAGTTGATTCTTATGCATATACCTCACCTTGGCGTACATAGGCATTTGGGAAGTGTTGTGTTTAAGGCTTTATCACACATCTTAATATTAATTCATTTTAATCTATATGATTATTATTAATTTGTAATATTTCAAAATAAAGGTACAAAGCAGCACAAAAGTTTCCACAGAAAAAAAATTACTTTAAAAGAAAAACTCACTGATATTGGTTCCACAGTTTTATTTTTGTTTTAGGATCTCAGTGGCAGAGACAAGTGAGGTAGTTACTTCACCAACTGTTTTTAAGTAAGGACAAAAAGTGGTCTTCTCAAATTATGCCTAAAGGAATTGGGGCATAGGAAGTTTTTATCACAGGGGATAAGATTCTTACAAATGAGAAATATGGATAAATAAAATCAGAATCAAGCTAGAAATCGTATGGTTCCAGGAGCTAGTGTTGGAGGAAGGAGATTGACTACAGAAGGATAAAGGGAACTTTTTGCAGTGATGGAATGTTCTATATCTTGATGGTTGTGGTTATATGGCTGAATATGTTTGTCAAAACTCATTGAATGATAGACCTAAAAAAAGTGACTCTTACTGTATGTAAATTGTACCTCAATAAATCTGAATTTTTTTTTTTTTAAATAACAAGCCAGGAAGAGATTCTGGGAAGGGTTATTTTTTCAAATTACCAATTGCATCTTGAAATATCTAATTAGATGGATTCTTGTTCATTAAAAGATAAGATTTTTTAATTAATAAATAGTGATTAAGATGCCATTAAATTAACATGTGTATTGATAATTCCTTTTTCATTAATATTTCTCATCAGAGGTTTCTCATATTCGTTTTATAGGGTCCACATATAGCTTCAGTTACATTAGCTGCTTATGAATGCAATTCAGTTAATTTCCCTGAACCACCCTATCCGGATCAGATTATTTGTCCAGATGAAGAGGGCATTGAAGGAACCATTTCTTTGTGGAGCATCATCTCAAAAGTTAGGATTGAGGCCTGCATGTGGGTAAGATATCCATTTTCATATTGGTCTGAAATTAACCTCACTAGCTTGATACTTTGTTGTCCTTAATTGAAATTGAATCCAAATATATACCAAGTTAGTAGATAATTAATTCATGAAGTCACCAGCTACCTACTTCCAAGTAGCAGAAACCTTTTAGAGCTTCTTCTGTTCGTGAATGACGTTCAGAAGGAAGACATGAAGCCATAGGTACCATGAAGCAATTGATGCCAAGTAGACAACAGCGGGGAAAAGGAGTATAGGCGATGCAACTATACTACTTTGTAAAATTTTACAAATGTTTAGGGGCTGGCCTGGTGGCATAAGTTAAGTTTGCACACTCTGCTTTGGCGGCCCGGGGTTTGCAGGTTCAGATCCTGGGCACAGACCTACACCACTTGTCAGCCAAACTCTGGTGGTGACCCACCTATAAAGTAGAGGAAGATTGGCACAGATATTAGCTCGGGGCTAATCTTCAAGCAAAAAAACAAGGAAGATTGGCAACAGATGTTAGCTCAGGGCTAATCTTCCTTAGGAAAAAAAAAATTGACAAATGTTTATATATTTGGTAAACAAATAGCAAGTGGTTATATATCAGTCCCAGATTGGTAAATGTTACATGTTAAATACTCTGTGTTTATTCTTAGAGGACTCATTTTATTTTCTGAGTTGTTGTAATACTGAAGTATGGTCAGACGTTTCTTAATAAACCAAGCTTTACTGTAGTGGAGGTATCAGACTGTATGGTCATATATGGTGATATTACTTTCACTTGTACCAAGTACTCTTTTTATGGTTTGCTTAAGCATATCTTGGGAAGTTTTTGGACTACATGTTCAATGGCAGATGTATTTTAATCTGCACAAAGCATTCTTTTTTTTCCTATATGCCTAAATTCATTCAGGTGTCTATCACTGAGGAATAATTCATTTGCTAAAGACTTCCTATTACCATTTGAATTATTTTTTAATTCATTATTTGGATTCATTAAGTTATATGTTTCCTGTGATTTTTTTTTCCCTAACAGTTTTATATAATATAAAAAATGTGGAACAGATCATTTAAAAATTTTAACTGAAATGATCATGAATACCATGCCCACAGAAGAGGCAGAGTTTTCAAACACATTTAAGTGTTAGCAATTATGTTGTGTTTTAAAAGAATTATAAGGGAAATGCCACACATTGAATTTGTCGAATATGAAAGACAGGAAAAATTGTCATGTTTCCTGTTAGTCTTTTATAAACACTGGAAACAAATTCATTGTACTAGTTACATATGTTTTATAAATTTGACCACATTAGTCTTTTGATGAAAAATTATTATTAAAATAACAGAAAATACTTGGAACATGCTAGAAGGGGACTACGTATATAGACTTTGGTTTTCAGTTTTTGTTTTGTTCTTTCAAAAATGATTTACGTGGCTGGATTAACATTAATGGCAATAAAGAAAACTTCCATCCCAGCTGGCAGTGATGACTGCCTCCTCCAAATCCCATAGTACCTATTGTCTGAAGTGCTCATTTGGCCTGGCTCCATGCATGCCTTAAATTAGTTAACTCGGCTGTTGTAGTGGCTTACTTCCCCAAATAAATTTTAAGCTCCTAAAAAAATACAGACTGTATCTTAAATTTACTGCCCTCACAGCAATCAGCATTAGGCTTTGCAGATAGTACAAGAATGTCAATAAATACTGATTAATTGGCTGAGTATCTATTTGCTCTTTATATGTCCTTCTTCAAAACTTTTGTCGTGTAAAAAATGTAGCATATAATCAAATTATGTTTAAGTTGGTTCCTATTCTCAACATTTACAATGACAGTCCTTTCCACAAAGGATGCTGGGAAAACTGAATATCTATATGCAAAAGAATGAAGTTGGACCCTCACCTTATACCATATGTAAAAGTTAACTCAAAATGTATCAAAGACCTAAACTTAAGAGCTAAAACTATATAACTCTTAGAAGAAAATATAGAGACAAATCTGTATGATGTTGGATTTGCCAATAGTTTCTTAAATATGACACCAAAAGCATATGCCACCAAAGAAAAAAATAGATAAATTCATCTTCACTAAAATTAAAACCTCTTGTACATCAAAGGACACTATTAAGAGAGTGAAAAGACAACCCACAGAATGGGAGAAAATATTTATAAATTGTATATCCAATAAGGGTTTAATATCCAGAATGTTTAAAGAACACAACTCAACAACAGAAAGACAAACAACCTAATTAAAAAATGGGCAAAAGAATTGAACAGACATTTCTCCAAAGAAGATGTGCAAATGGCCAATAAGCACACAGAAAGATTGTCAACATCATTAGTCATTGGGGAAATGCAAATCCGGACCGCAAGGAAATACTTTACACACATTAGGATGACTATTATTTTTTTAAAAATGGAAAATAGCTAGTGTTGGTGAGGAGGTGGAAAAATTGGAATCCTTATAGATTGCTGGTGGGAGTGTAAAGTGATTGAGCTGCTGTGGAAAAGAGTTTGGTGGTTTCTCAAAAACTTAAACATAGAATTACCATATGACACACCTTTAATTCCACTCCTACGTAAATACCCAAAAGAACTGAAAACTGGGACTCAAGTATAAGTACAGATTCTTGTACTTCACTGTTCCGCAGCATTATTCACATTATCAGAAAGGGGGAAACAACCCAAGTGTCCTTCAACAGATAAACGGATAAACAAAATGTAATATATACATGTAATGGAATATTATTCAGCCATAAAAAGGAATGAAGTTCTGATACATGCTACAATATGGATGAACCTTGAAAACATGTTAGGTGAAATAAACCAGACATAGAAAGACAGATATGGTATGATTCCACTTATGTGAACTGTCTACAAGAGTCACATTCATAGAGACAAAAAGTAGATTAGAGGTTACCAGGGGTGTGGGGAATGAGAAGTTAATGCTTAATAGTTACAGAGTTTCCATTTGGATGATGAAAAATATTGGAAATAGACAGTAATGATGAGTGTACTGTGAACGCAGTTAATGCCACTGAATTTTATATTTAAAAATGGTTAAATGGGACACACTCATAAAAAGTCAATACTACTGAGGTTGAGAAGCCTTGATTTAGAGTGTATTGGCCTTGATTCTTATAGTTTACCCTTTTATAAATTTTATCCCATTTGTGTTCACATCCATATGTTTTTTTCAGGGAAATATCTTGCTTGATTAAAAACTGATATCTGGGGCCAGCCACATGGCATAGTGGTTGAGTTCAGCGCACTTTGCTTCAGTGGCCTGGGTTTTCGGGTTTGGATCCCAGGCACAGACCTACACCACTCGTCAGCCATGCTGTGGCAGTGACCCACATATGAAATAGAGGAAGATTGGCAGCAGCTGTTAGCTCAGGGTGAATCTTCCTCAGCAAAAAAATAAATAAATAAAATAAAAACTGATGTCTTATTTAAAGATTTTATTTATTTTATTTTTCCCCCCAAAGCCCCAGCAGATAGTTGCATGTCATAGCTGCACATCCTTCTAGTTGCTGTATGTGGGACTCGGCCTCAGGATGGACGGAGAAGTGGTGCCTCGATGCGCACCCAGGATCCGAACCCGGGCCGCCAGCATTGCGGCGCGCGCACTTAACCACCAAGCCACAGGGCCGGCCCTGATGTCTTATTTAAAATTTTTATCTAATTTGTACTTTGCAAAGTAAAATATCTTTACAGACTTTACTATCATTATAAATATAGTGAATCAGTCAAATCATTAAAATATGTAGTACTTCCCATTATAGGGTAAAGACCTGAGTGAACCTCAGTTTCAACTCGTTCATATAGGTCTTTGGAGTGCATTAAAATGAATTGTTTGATACTGTTGATCAGTAGGTTACCTTTTTTCAATTTGCATCTTTTTGATCTTCCACAATTTGGCTATATCACCAGTGCAAGTCTCCACAAATTTTCTTTTCATTCATGAATTCCAATAATAGTTATTAAGCATCCAAGCACTAGAGATTCGGAGTGAACAAAACTTAACAGGTCTCTTCCCTCCTGGAGCTTTACATTCTAGTGACAGAAATAATTATCATGGAAAAATGTAGATATAAGTATCATAGAAAAATTGTATATATAAATATTGAACAAACTGTGATAATGCTATGAAGGAGAAATCTACTGTGTAACACAAAAATTTTCCTTAGTCTGTGATTCAGGAAGATTTCTATGAAGAAGCAGTGTTTCAATTGAGATCTAAAGATAATAAGGAGTAAAGTGGGGAGGAGAGATGGCAGCAGGGCAGGGGAGAGAAGAGCATGTGTGATGACTTTCAGATAAAGAACATCACCTTTTAAGGTCATTTGTTTATTAAGTTCATGGTTTTGTTTTTGGGGGTTTTTTTTGTTTGTTTTTGTGAGGAAGATCGGCCCTGAGCTAACATCTGCCAATCCTCTTCTTTTTTTGCTGAGGAAGACTGGCCCTGGGCTAACATCCATGCCCATCTTCCCCTACTTTATATGGGATGCTGCCACAGCATGGCTTGACAAGCGGTGAGTCGGTGCGCACCCGGGATCCGAACCGGGAAACCCCGGGCCACCGCAGCGGAGTGCGCACACCCAACCGCTGCACCACCCGGCCGGCCCCTGGGGTTTTTTTTTTTTTGTGGTAAAATAGACGTAACATATAGTTTACCGTTTTAACCATTTTCGAGTGCATAATTTACTGGTATTAAGTACATTCACAATGTTGTGTAACCATCACCATTATCTACTTCCAGAACTTTTTTGTCATCCCAAACAGAAACCTGTACCCATTAAACAATAACTCTTCATTCCCTCCTCTCCCCAGCCCCTGGTAACCTCCATTCTACTTTCTGCCTCTATGAATTTGCCTATTCTAGATACCCCATATAAATGGAATCATACTATATAGGTCTGTCTTTCTTTGTGTGGTTTATTTCACTTAGCATAATGTTTTCAAGTTTAATCCATGTTGTAGCATCTATCAGAACCTCATTCTTTCCTAAGGCCGTTTTAAAACTGACCTCAAGGGAAACTGGAAGCAAATTTTCTTTTTTTTTGTTTGCAAAACAATCTGATAATTTCACTAGAATTGGTATAGTTATTTTTTAAATATTGCTTGTAAGAGCCCTGAATATCTCACTGGTTTCAAACTTATCCTCCAAACTTCTGCTTTTAACCTCTGATTCATGTTTGTAGTTGGAATATTTAATAGAAAAGTGATTTTGTTTTTAAAGATTATTAACACACTGATAATACCACGCTACCATAATTTCGGAGTAGTCAGCATATTATAAAAATTTTTGCTCTCCAGATTTTTACCATTTAACTTAAGATTCCCAACATAGAAAAGCAAGATGCTGCTGATTTCCTTGTGATTCCACTTGACAAAACTTTAAAAGCACAAAAATCCAGGATTTTTCTGCTCCCAAAAATCTTTGAATAAAATTGACACTCCAGGAAGATATTGTGTTTTTCTCTTGCTTTTGCATATTTTGTGCATATTGAACTCTTTTCCAATACAAGATGCAAGGACTTTAGGGTAATAAATTGATTTATAGTAGATGATTTTTAGAAGAGCTTTCTGAATTATTGCTTGACTAAATGCCACTTGTCTTTCTTTTGCAGTAAGGAAGCCAGTCTTCTTCTCTTTAATTAAACCTCTGCTGACAGTTTTTAGCGTTCCACAGTTTTGTTTTGGTTTTTTTGTTTTGATTTTGCGAGAATTATAAAATTTTGTAAGAATCATGAAATTATGGGACCTCAGTATCTAATTTGAGATAACTGACTAAATAAACTTCTATGTCTAGAATAGAATGTGTTTTGGGGGACCTGCCTGGATGATTATATTTCCTTTTTACTTATTTGCATAAGAAATAGAATACTGACTTATGAGCACCATTCTTGTTCCTTGCTAATATGGGAAAACATGAGCAGAATTAAATTAAAATATAACAATAAATATAGTCAGCCAGGACAGTATGTAGCTCTTGATTTCATTTTAGTCTATTATTACTTCCTTTTTAACTTTGAGGAAACTTGTCATGAGTTTGAATCATATGATTGCTTTCAGAACTATTGAACATTTGACTTAACAGGTTTTAAGAGAAGTTCATGTTTTGAATAAAATGTTGCAATTAACTTTTCTTCCTACTTTTTTGTTATGGAGAACTTTTTAAAAAGTACAGAGAATTATATAATTAATTCAATATGTTATCACCCAACTTCAGCTAATATTAACTCTTGGCTAATATTGGTTTATCTATACCTCTCCTCACTCTGCTTCCAATTATCTTGAAGCATATCCCAGAAAACATATCACATTTCATCTGTAAATGTATCAACCATAGGACTTAAAAAACGTTAGCACACTTAAGAGAAATTAGAAATTGTCTCTTCAGATCAGTTACCAAGTTAGTGTTCAGATCTTTCTGACTGTGTTTATTTCTTTGTTTTTCTTTTCAAATTTATTTGTGGGTGAAACCTGATTGTTTGTCAAGTCGTTTCCCACAGTCTGGATTTTACTGATTGTATTCCAGTTGATGTAGTTTAAATACATTTCTCTGTTGCCTGTGTTTCCTGGGAGTTGATAGTTCAATTGAGAGGCTTGAAAAAAAATTTTTTTTACAAGAATACACTTCACAGTCTAGTGTATTTCTATCACAGGGTACAATAATGTCTAGTTGTCTTTATTTTGTAATATTAGCACCATTGTTATATAAGTCCATTATTTTATGGGGTTATAAAATGGGGGTATTCCAATTACATCATTTTTTTCTTTAGTTATTGACTGGAATACTTTTATAAAGAGAAACTTCTTATCACCAGTTTGGTTACCCTGAGATATTTTTCATATAGGTAAGACAGGATAAATAATTTATTCTTTCTCTGTATTTACTGGTTTTTAAAATAATAAGTTGGTTCTCTAACATCCTCCAAAGTTGACAAACATTAACTTTTCTTGTTTAGCAAAATATGATTTGTGTTTTATTCTTATATCCTTCTATGTATATGTTTCTCCTCCCTCCCTTCTCTCTCTGTTCTTTAAATATAACCTTATTTTTTTGGCAGTTAAGTATGTTCTTTCTCAGAACTGTTGTTTTACATGTGGATAGTGCAGTTTCACTTGAAGAATCATTGACTCCACACATTGGAATATAACACTGTGGTCACAAAATGTTTGGATTTGATAATATTCCTTGGGATTCTTTTCAAGGAACTTGCAGACAGCTATAGGACAGAGCAAACAGAAAGGCCTAAAGTTGCTTCTGAGAACTAGCAAAGCTTTTTCATTTACTATGACTCAGGGCAAAGAAGGATGGCTCGAAGTTGAGAATTTTCCTAGAGATTATGTGCCTCTTGCATTATTACTCTCCTTTATTTAAGCCATTTAATCCCAAACCAAGTTCCTGATTCTTTTACCTTTGTTTCATCTTTATGTCCTAAGTTGATTGAAAAAAAATTCTCTTCAAAAACAAGAATCCACAAAATGACTGAAGCATGAGTCACTCAATGTCCTGAGGAAATAAACATTTTTCCTGTGGTGAAGATTTATCCATCCTAATGTTGAGTTTTCAAGGGGCTTCCTGACCACAATTTGTTAAAGTTTTAACTATGCACAAAAAAGTTATATTGGAATTAAAGCAATGTCCTAAATACCAGAAGATTTCCTAGAAAATATTTATCTAGCAGCTATACTAATGAATATTCATTACCAAATTATTTGAATATTTGAAAAGGAAAAAACTGATGAAAACAACAGAGTATAACTAGAGATGCTAGAGAACTAACATTAATTTAGTGTCAGCAATGCACCAGGGATTGTCTAGGAGTTTTATGTATATTATATTGCCTAGTGTTGCATAAGTCAATATTAGGGCCGAGATTCAAACTCACGTCCTCCTTGTTATGTAGTATATGCTTTCCTCTCGAATACATACGTCTTAACATGCTTTGGGTGATATAGAAAAATATAGATTTGATCTGTTTAGTGTCACTGTGTTGAGAACAGAATCTCATGTGAGTATTTTGTTTTTTTGCATAGGGTATTGGTACAGCCATCGGAGAGCTGCCTCCATATTTCATGGCTAGGGCAGCTCGCCTCTCAGGTGCTGAACCAGATGATGAAGAGTATCAGGAATTCGAAGAGATGCTGGAACATGCAGAGACTGCACAGGTGAGAACAGTGGGGACAAAAATGAATAGAATACTTCATCCCTAAAGCAGTTATGATTAAGGTGAAATTGTGAATAGTTAACTCTGAAGAAGAAAACTGCCAGTGTAAAAACAAAATGATATGTGGTTTGGGATAGAATATTCAGAAAAGCTGAAATATGAAAGTGTTTATAATCTTGATCTTAGAATAGAGAAATGCAGAAAGAGTAGACAAGACACCTCAGACTAAGCTAAAACACCTTGCTAGAAGATCAGAGTAAATTAGTGTTGCCAATGAGATTAAGGAGCTGAAACATTCTTTTTCCATTATGTGTTTAGAAGCATTACCAAACAGACCACTGAGTAAATAAGGGGGACAAATAAGTCGACCAGGCTGAGAGTCCCAAAATAGTAGAACTTCTAAATTAATTTTTTGAAAATAACCTCAAAATAGTTTACCATATTTAGAGGAAACTATTTGGAAACTCCTAATTAAGAAAGGACCATTATGATAAACTTATCCTTTATCAGTGGGGAGAAAACAGGCTGAGACCTTTTACACCTGAGCGCAAACTATATGTTACAAAATAGGTGTTCTTTTCTTTGCAGGAAAATTCCTCAGAGTATTATTAACTGTTTGAGTCTCCATCTTAGAGATGACAGTAGAAATCAACTGTGATCCTTTTTATCATAAATAAAAAGGATATAAAAGAGATTTTTGAAAGATTATATATTAAATACATCTCCCTCCTCAGATTTGTTCATTAACCTATGAAATTGTTTGAAAAATGGTCTTCTTTTGTGTTTGTAAGTGCGTGTGCCCACACAAGTGCACGCACATTTTTTTGAGGAATGAGTTCATAGTTTTCTTCTTAGTGGAATCTGAGACTCAAAAAACCATTACCCGAGAGCTGGCCCGGTGGTGAAGTTCCCATGCTCCGCTTCAGTGGTCTGGAGTTCGCAAGTTCAGATCCCGGGGGCAGACCTATGCACCGCTTATCAAGCCATGCTGTGGCAGGCGTCCCACATATAAAAAAGCAGAGGAAGATGGGCACAGATGTTAGCCCAGGGCCAATCTTCCTCACAAAAAAAAATAAAAATAAAAATTAAAAAAATAAAACTATTACCCTGGAGAGGAAAAACAACATCTTTTAATGACAGATGGGCTTTTTAAAAAAGCATTATTAAATGGAAATCAACTAATGATAAGTTACAGTTTTTAATTGAAAACAAAACTTTCAAATATGAACATAGAATAGCCAAATATGAAACAAATGAATCAAAGAGCTACAAACATCTGCTGTGCATGGAAAGAGGCAAGTTATCCTCGTATCTGTTTTGCGTTATCTATCAACCAAATTTTATACCTCTCTTCCTCACATTATAATGCTTATATTAATGCTAATAATTATTACTAATATAAATAACTTTTTAATTATTTTTACTGCTTTTTAAAATCCAGTATCTAGGGGCCGGCCCCATGGCTTAGCGGTTAAGTGCGCGCGCTCCGCTGCTGGCGGCCCGGGTTCGGATCCTGGGCTCGGATCCCAGGCTCGGATCCCGGGTGTGCACCACAGCACCGCTTCTCCGGCCATGCCGAGGCTGCGTCCCACATACAGCAACTAGAAGGACATGCAACTATGACATACAACTATCTACTGGGGCTTTGGGGGGAAAATAAATAAATAAATAAAATTATTAAAAATAATAATAATAAAATCCAGTATCTAATTTGACCCTTGTGTTAACTCTGAGGTAGTATGGAAAGGTATGATTCCCCTAAATTTATAGAAAACTGCAGATCTAGAAGTTGTTACCTCCCTAATTTTACATGCTTAGAAGTAAAGCTAGAACCAGAACTCAGAATTCCAGCATCACTGATGTATTCCAATTACTGAAACCATGTCCATTTATAGATGTAGATGGCGAGGATCCCCACCTGTAACAATTGATACCTCTGTTATTTGTGGCACTAATTAATGTATGTCATTTAACATCTCAGAAACTCTTTTTCATCTACATAAAATCAGCAACTTGAAGTAGAATAAGTGTAAGATATCTTGCAACTTTAAATTTTTATGCTGTGGTTTGGATGCCAAACAGGTATAAGTATTGTTCTCTGTTAAACCAACTAATGTACTGTGATTATTTTCCTTTTTTTACAACTTCTTGTTTTGGAATTAACATTTTTTTGTTTGCATAGTTCTTTAAACTCTTCTCTCCCTTCACTTTCCAGTTGGTAACACCTATAGAATAATATCAATTCGTTTTTTTTTCTTGGAGTCATCACTCTGGACCTCCCTATGTTCCCACTGTAATCTGGATTTGTGTTCTCTCTGCCCCCTGCACAGTTGCTTCTCTCTTGATGTGGATTCTTTGTCTTCCTCTTTCTTCATTTACTCTCTCATTTTGGTTGAACACATTCTGCACTAGCTTCCTGAGAAAGAATGAGTAGATGGAAAATTCTGAAAATGCTATGTTCTTCATTCATACTTAATCAATTAATGGAATATAGAATTCTAAGTTGAAAATCATTTTTTTAACTTTGAATTTGAAAGGCATTGCTCAACTGTCTTCAGGCTTCTGGTGTTGATATTGATAGGGCTAATGCCTTGCTGACCCCACTCTATAGGCAGTCTTTTTTGGTGTTTTTGTTTTTTTTCTCTAGAAGCTTTTAGATTCATTACCTGAGGTATGGGTCTTTTTAAAATTTATTCTGCTAGACACTCAGGAAACTTGTCAATCTAGAGTCCATTCGTTTTGGGAAACATTCTTATATATTTTCTAGTCAGTTTACCCTCTTTGCTCTCTATTCTTGCTTTCCAGAATTCTTTTTGTTTTGATGTTGGGCCTCCCAACACCCATCATTTTAATTTTTTACCATTTAGCTCCTAATACTTATCTCATTTTATTTTGTATGCGATTTCCTCAAGTTTATCATTCTAATTCTAATATTAAAAATTTTCCATGGTCGTATATTTATTTTCAAAAAGCAACTTGCATTATATTTCCAAGAAATGGTTTATCTTATCTTTTTGAAGGTATTTAGTTTCTTCAAGTTTTCTGTTGCTCCAGGCATTGTGTTTTTTCCTTTGTCTGTTCTGCTTCCTATTTGAAGCTTTCCTCAAAACCTTGTTTTTTTGTTTATATTAAGAATAAGGCAGGGGCCGGCCCCGAGGCTTAGCAGTTAAGTGCGCATGCTCCGCTGCTGGCGGCCCGGGTTCAGATCCTGGGCGCGCACTGACGCACCACTTCTCTGGCCATGCTGAGGCCGTCTCTCACATACAGCAACTAGAAGGATGTGCAGCTATGACATACAACTATCTACTGGGGCTTTGGGGGGAAAAAAATAAATAAAATTATTGAAAAAAAAAAAAAAAAGAATAAGCCAGGGGGCCGGCCCTGTGGCGTAGCGGTTAAGTGCGCGTGCTCCGGTGCTGGCGGCCCGTGTTCGGATCTGGGTGTGCACCGATGCCCGGCTTGTCAGGCTGTGCTGTGGCAGCATCCCACATAAAGTGAAGGAAGATGGGCACGGATGTTAGCTCAGGACCAGTCTTCCTCAGCAAAAAGAGGAGGATTGGCATGGATGTTAGCTCAGGGCTGATCTTCCTCACAGAGAAAAAAAAAAGAATAAGCCACATAAAAGTTGGATGGAAGCTATGTGTGTGGAGGCACAGTGTAAGAGTAGCAGGCAGCCTTATTTTTTGGAACTTCCATATATCAGTTTCTGTGGATCTCTCCTTTGGGATATCTCAGTTTCTCTAGTGATGGACCCTCCAATTTCTTACCCAGGGAATACGGACCTAGCTGCTGACATTCTGAAGCTAGGCTATGGAAGGGGGGTCAGAGATCTCCATGTACCATGTAGACTTTCACTTAACCTGCTTTGTGTTTAGTCTGTGGATACCTGCACAAACATGTCCTGAGCCCAGAACCTTTGGTTCACTTTGCTTAGAGACTATACTTGATGTCTTCTATGGGTCTAGGGAAGGAAGTTGTCTGGCTTTGCTAAGTAGAAGTGGAACCTGGGAGTCTACTTCTTATACAGTCTCCTTGTTTTCAGCCCTACCCCAACCTCTTCTGCACTTCTGCTGAAGATCCTTTTTGGAGTTCTGTAGTGCAAATCACTTTGCTTCTCTTCTATATCCTCCACTGTAGGCTCTCAGGTATAATCTTTTCTTTCATCTGCCCCTGTATTCTTTTATTAATGTTAGTTTCATCAAAGACAGAGTTCATGTTTCTACTTCCTATATTTTGGGGTTATTAAGATACAGGGTGTTCCAGTTATCTATGACTAAGTAACAAACTACCCCAATATTTAGTGGTTTAAAACAAGAACAGTCATTTATATTGCTCACAGAGAGGCAATTGACTTGGGAAAAATGGCTTGACTGTAAGCTGAGGTTCTACTTCCAAGATGATTTACTTATATGACTGGCTCTTGGCTTGGAGTTCAGCTGGACTGTTGGTTTGGGACCTCAAATTACTCTTCATGGGGCTTTTTGGGCTTCTTCATGTCATGGCACCTGAGTTCTAAGAACAAGTGTTCCGAAAGAACCTAGGTGGAAGCGGCAAAGTTTCTTGACATAAGCTCAGAAATCCCAGTCAGTTTGCTGCATCGTGTTGGCCAAGTAGGTCACTAAAGCCAGCTCAGATTCAGAGAGAGGAATTAGACTCTACCTCTCAGTGAGAAGAGTAAGCAAGAATTTGCAACCATCCTTAATATACCACTGGGGGGCAAAGATCTTATTTGGTCATCTTGAAGTGGGAAACTTCCTGTAATATCATTTTTAATAGGATAGAACATTGACAAACCAGAATTTCTCTTTAGGAGGAGGAATGAGATGGTAACTGATCTTGAAATCATATAATCTGAGAAATTGTTGAAAAGAATTTAGACATGTTTCATTGAAAGGGGGAAGTGATGAGCTTGTCAGATATGCAAAAAGTTGTCTCTCCTGTGGCAAGAAGATATACTCATGCTGAGAAATTACAGAGAGGCAAGCTTTGTCTTAGAATTAG